TAAGAAAGTCCTAAATGAATAATTCAGTATGTTTCCATGCTAGCTGTTGTAAGACTTGAGGTGTGATAATGAACTTAGTGTGCTGTGTGAATGTATTTATAGACTCTGCATTTATGTGTCAATTCACATCAGGAGTAAATTAGACAAGAAATAGACCAATTGACATCACCTGGCTGTGTTAACATCAGGATTAACTTAGACCAGAAGCAGACTAATTAATTGGTATCACCTTGGTGTGTTCACACTTTCTAAAAAGACCCTAAAAAATAAATTATATTACCTGTTTCATTTTCCTTCTCTTTAATGAGAAAAAGAACCTTAGAATCTTAGGGTTGATAATAATGGGAACGACAAAGCTACAACTCTTGTAACAATGGAGCATAAGGAAATGGTGCATTGCTATTGCTTCAGGGGCAGACAGAGACTGTCTTCTGGAAGACCATCAGACTATATCAAGTTTACATTGACAGGCATCTAATTTTTCTGTCGGAAAACAGTCAAAAATTGAGGATGGGTCAACAAAGATAATTTGGAAGACTGTCAGAAAATATCTCTGGATCCGCCCCTGTGCTTTACCCAGTAAATGTTGTCATACTAACAATAAAAAAAATTCCTTGACATCAGCAGTATATTGTTACATTATCAGTGATGTTGGGTGTGGATAATGAGATAATAATAGCATCATTCACTTTTGTCAAATTTCCAGTCCATTATTAGTTGTAACAGGGTGTGCATCTTGTTTTATCTCCAAATACAAGCAGAAAAAAACAATCATAGACTTCTGTTCACTGTTATAGTCTTAATTAAATGCTAGGCTCATGTTTAATTAACTAGGTTACATTCAGAGTAGACAAAACATGCCACTATATCAAAGGTGACATCATGAAATGCCATTAGTACCATCTGTTATGCAACCCTTTGCTAATAATGTAATTAGTTCTATTTATGATAATTATTCCATTACTTGACTTTTAAAGCCCAATCATTTATTTTGAAATTTCAACATTTATGATTTTACAATTTCAGTTGTAAACAAACACATGCAAGCACACGCCCATGCACACATGTTAATGCTCGCTTACGTACACATACACTAGAGAAATAAATAACTTTGAAGACTAAAATCTCACACAAATTCAAATGCCAACAAAATACTTCTGAATCACTTACTTGTTGTCTACATAGCAAAAAAAGTTTCATCAGGAAATACAATTGATCAATTTTGCGATAAATTACCCTAAGATCCAGGTGCCAGCTCCATTAATTGGCGTGCACAAGAGAGTGCAATTAAGTGCTAATAGCGATTAATGGTGTGCCACTGGAGTTGCTGACATGTACATGATTACTTCACAAGTCTACTGGTGTTTCTTCACATTTTCAAAACTTGTCTTTTATTACTTTTTTAAATATCAAAATAGAAAACAGGTTCATCTTGCATAATTTTTTTTTTTTTTTTTTTTTTTTTTTTTTTTGCATTACTCAACATGAGCCTGCGCAGTTTATACAGCACTAAATAACCTGTTTTAAACATATCTATCTGAAAAAAAAATAACATTAGAAAATTTTCTGTGTTAATACCTATAATTTTCAAATCTGGGAGGAATAATGGGGAACCTTCAAGTCAGGGGTTCAAATTATAAACATTAAACTGCCTGACTCATGGGTAATGCATTTTTTTTAATCAGTAAAATCCAATTTCACATCCAGGGTTGTCTCTTCAGGGTGGTTGTATTCACACTTCCACAAATCATGGTATTTTGGTACAACTTCAATGGAAATGCCACTTTAAAGTCTTGTGTCGATGTAGGGTTAATGTTAGGTTTGGTGTGAACGCGGTCTCACCAGGGATGGCCCCTTTTTTTGTCCAATACAGATATAGCCAGTCTCACACTATTTTATGGTAATCACTCACCAATTGTGAACACTTTATTTTGATCAATATATATCAAATTTTATCATTAATTACTAAGCAAACTTTCAGACAACAATTAAGCTAAATTCACCTTTCATAACTTGCAATTCCCCATTTTTATGGTAGCATCATCAACAAAATATCATTTTGCAAAATATCAGCAATAACTTTGTTTAAATAACTCAGTATTTTAATTAATGTAATTCAGGCTAAAAAATAAATAAATAAATAAATAAATAAATAAATAAATAAATAAATAAATAAATAAATAAATAAATAAATGAGGCAGACAATCTGCACCAAATGAACTATACAACAATCCAGCACAGTGCTGTAGCACAACACGAGCTTCAGTGATAGCCACTTCATATTCACATTTAATACATAACTACAAGTATTACATACTGTCTTAAGAAGGTCTAGACAGTTCTCAAGATGGATGGCCTGTCTGGATGAGACAATGTCTGACTTCAGTTAACTTAAGGGGTCATTCAGCTAGCTTTTTTTCTTTAAATATATTTATGTATATTCCAAGTTTGTAATTGGACATGCAGGCAATGATACTTTTAAAAAGAAAGAAAAAAGCCTCCAACCTCAAACATAAAAGGACTTAAATAACAACTACCAATCTGCATACAGGTGTATATAAACCAAAAAATAGAAAAAATTAATAAAATATTTTGAGCAGTGGCCCCATCTAATGTTATTAGCATTAATTGCTAACAACAAGAAATAAAATCATAAAAATAAAATCATAAAAATAAAAGAACCGAGTTCATGCTAAAGGAAACAGTGGGCCACACCCACCACCCTCTTTATAAAAAAACTGCTTTGCTATAGAACAAATCTTCATAATATTTCATTGTGTTAACTGAAACAAAACTGTATCCAAGCCATAGTCCCCAAGCAATGAAAATTCCACGTTAAATACATTTCCCCCAGGCACTTTGTATGTTGATATCTGCAGGCTAACCTGGCATTTTCCTTAATATATTATATATGTATGTAAACTTATAAGCCTCCAAGCTACACGTTCAATTTCTCTAAAAATATTCTTACCTGGACAGGATTTTTTACAATGATCAGCACATAGTAGACACTGAATGATCATAGAAATTTCAAAACTTTTCGGGCTTTTTTTTCTATTCTTGCTTGAAACTTTCTATTCTTGCTTGAAAGTCTTGCTAGATTGCTTGACTACATGTACCTTACAAGACAAGAAAGTTTACATCCTTAAAATCAGTATTATGAATTCTAACTAATGCACAGTCAGCAAGCCTCAGCCATTTAAGTCTTTATATCATATACTAACTCAGGACTTGGGGGCACAGACGTCAATACATTTTGTCCATTTTTAAAGTCTAAACTATAACAGATAACTTTGATATTACTTGGAAATATACTGCAACACTATTTCTCAATCACAGCCATTTTCTCATTTTCATTCACACTAGATGCCTTTATAGTTTAGCTACCAGTACCCTTTCATAAAAGAATAACCTCCTCCTCCTCTTAGACCTTAAAATGGAAGAGTTGTTAGTCATGATGATGTCTCATGCTAGAAACCATTATCAAGTTACACACAGGCAACCTACTCACTGCATGCAATGATGTTTGCAAAGATTTATGGTATTAAAAAAAATTAATGAAATTAAATTTAGGAACAAAGAAGAAGCTTTAAGGTTTTATCAGTGATGTTTTTTTTTTCAGTACCACCAATTTAAGGGATATCAACTGTTCATTTTGGCCAAAAAATGGATTTTCCAGGGGTAATTTAAAGGACATTTTCCCCAAAGTTACTGATGGTAAATGAATCCATTCCAACATCCAAAGTTAGTCCCTAGTTATTTTTCTAAAAAGTTTTTTTAATAATCTCTTAAGAGATTATTACAGAGAGTAGCCATCTATGGAGGTTACACATGGTCCAATACCAAGCAACATGCCAAAGAATTTTGAATATCAATAATTGCGATACCTGCCATTTTGGTGGTCAAATAGGATTTATTATATTTCTATGATTTGTTTACAATGCATTTATTGTGAAATATAGATCTCATATGAAGAGTTGTTTTCCCTTGAAGTCTCAGATTCAAAGGTATCAAAAGTAAAATTTGCTTCAAGTTCATACACCTCCCTGGTTACATATATGTAGTAAGTCTTGTCTTTTACAGTCACAAAATAATGAAAAACAGATCTTTATCTTAGAATTTAGCAAGCACCAGCTTGCATATCAAAATATCATATCAGAAAGACAGAAAACGTCTATTGTCAAGAAGTACTGGCCCTATGAATAACTGACTAATGATAAGTAAGCTTAATTATTGCCTATACTAAATGAATGGCCAAAACAATTGGACTAATGAATGAACGAATGGACGTTGAGTGGACAATGGCACAAACGAGTCTAAACAGACAGACTGTACAAGATGTGAATTAATGACTGCATCCATTAAGATTAAGTGTCAACTAAAGTTCAAGTCTATTATTTGTAAATTTAAGGGCCTCATCATATCTCACAGTCCATTAAGCAGAAGGTTCCATGGGTTAGATATGTAGGTTCTTTAATCAAAAAGTTTATGGTCTGGGGATGCTTTCACAATTGAATCTGGGACAGAAAATTGGCCATAAGTTTATGACCAATAATTATGGTCCACTTTAATCCATGATAAATGTGTAGTGGTCAACTAGAATAAAGAATAATTTGGTCAAAATCTTTCCATTTCATTCTCTCTGGTCGTATTCAGAACAGATGATCCTTGGATCTACTGGTCCACGGATCAAATATGGCGGACCCTACATGAAAGCAAGATGGCCTAATCCTTTAATGTTCTCCCCAACTCCACACGGATTTAATTTCGGCTTCCAGGTTTAATTGCTCAGCCCCTGCAGAGAAGGCAAGTGTGGAGGCGGGAAGACCATAAAGGGACGACATGGTCTTGCTTTCATGTAGGGTCCATCATATTTGATCTGCAGACCAGTTGATCCAAGTATCATCTGTTGTGAATGCGACCCTCTCTCTCTCTCTCTCTCTCTCTCTCTCTCTCTCTCTCTCTTTGTATACAAGTACTATCATGCCATATTTGCTTACCTGAACGGGGGCAATCCCCTTGTTAACTCACTCAAGTGCTCAGTTATTGCCGGCAGCTCAATATACTGCTGAATCTGGAAAAATGAAATTATCTTAAGAGCTTTTACAGCAGTTGTACGGCCACTAAATATACCCAGTATATTGCTTTTTTATGATAAATACTTCACTAGTGTAACAGTCTGATTAAATAAGCAGCACGTACTACACCAACAGCACTCTCTTAAGGTTATTCTTAGGCGATAAAAGAAAAGAAGAAAAAAAAACATTCATAAGCATCAAGTCAGGGCACTATAAATAATTCATCAACATAAAGAGGTTAAAATAACAAACAGTTATTGTTATCAGTTCAGAATAATTATTTTGATTCATTATAGTATATTTACATGACATAGATTTTTATATGAAATGCTTCATCGATTCATTAAACAAATAAATCTGACACAGTGCACGTTCACCTGAGTGGCAACTTCCTGGTCTAGCTGATAACTCAAGGACCAATTGTTTTTTTTTCAGGTTATATCAACCTTTCAGTATATATATCAAATACATAAATAAGTTTACTGAACAAAAATAAGTTTATCGAGCACCAATGGCAGATCAAGTGTGTGTGTGTGTGTGTGTGGGGGGAGGGGGGGGGAAGGGGGGGGGCAGAGTGAGCTGCTTGCCCCCACCCAAGTTTTAGGGGTGCACGTTTTCCTTTACAAAGAACAATACAACAAGCAAGCATACCCAGCAATTTTCTATCCTTCTTTATTACGATCTCTCTCAAATATAGTAAAATGTCCTGGTTTTCTCTGTCAGTATATATATAAACTCTACAGTGGAATTGGTGGGAGGGGGGTGGATAAAACAGAGACACATTGAACAGTAAACTTCATGTCGTAGACAGATTTACAAGATGAAAAGTATATGAATGAATGAATGAATATAAAGCCTGCATTTCTCTTGATGATTTTCCGACAACAATCAGTAAATAACATGAATCAACATTGTGGTGTTTTTCCTTGTTTAAGTTTTTATTCAGTTCAGATTTCAAAATGAAAGTAGATTTGCATAAGTGAGGAAATGAGTGATAAAAATAAATTAATCTTTTTAATGCTGGCTTTCATGATCCTGGGGAATCCATTGAATAAAACAAATTGGAACAAGGACTTTTTTCTAAACTGTTTTATCAGATTTCATGTTGAACGTGATCAAATTTAATGAGGCTGTCTGGTGAACTGAAAAGGGAATCACCCCAGATAGCCTAAAACAAGGATCTTGTCACCGCCTAATGTCATACGCGAATAGAAAATGTGATGTTTTGCATGAGGTACTTTGTAGCAAGGCTCAAACCACTATGTACCACTGGAATATATATCTTCTCAGAAAGCATTTACAGAAAGCATGTTTGATATGTACTGCTATGGAAATGACTATAATTTGACAGAACTTAAGTGAAAACAAAAATAAATCTTCGGCTAAAATCAGTCAGTTTTCTTTCACTTGCTAGTCAGCCATTATTTCTGCAAAATCACTCCATTTTATGCAAAGCTATGCAACGTTTGGCTATCTCAGATGATTTGCATCATATACAGTATAAATATAAATATGAATACAGTATCATAACATGCACTGATGTATATATTTATATAGTTTGTATGCAGAAATATAATAATATCCTATCACTACAACTGGCTGACATGCACTGAAAGCAGTGCCTCTCTCTTCTCTCTCTCCCTCTCTCACACACACACACACACACACTTATTGAATAGATCTACAATACACTTTGCTTTTAAGGGCTGCTTTTTTGTTAACTCAATCACATTTGAGACTAGCATGGAAATGATATTATCAAGTCATGCAGCAGCATATAGCACAAAACATACCATACAGGCAAAAAAGGCCCTCACAAAATGAAAATTCCCTCCAGTACTAATTATTTTGAGCCACCAGCAAAAGTGTAAGTGTGAATCCTGCAGCAAAAACACTTAAATATTCATGATTTTGTTGCTTTGGGGTAAAAATCTTGGTTTTGGGGCTGTGCACAGTACATTGCTAGCAGTCATGACATACTGTTAATCACATGTTAAATATTAACCTCTGAGTTTATAAGAATAAAATAAACAACAATAATAATATTTGGGTCATGTTGAGTGAAACTGCAGGTAACCAACCCCCGTTTATTTGAATATCATACCTGGTATAATCATATACTTTTTGCATAATTGTACATACTTCACACCCTGAGTTGACTGTTTTACTGAACTGATCTAGGAAGGTATACTGGAGTGTCACTAACATATCTGTAAAACTCAGGGTGATACACAGCAAATACGTCAGGTCCTAGAACATGCTGGTGATACATGTACTTTATGACTGATATATATATATATAAATTTGACTATATATATAACGCTACTTAAAATTGTTTTGCTGCATGACTATATGATATGACAGAAAAGATACTCTTTACAATCAATCTAAATATTTCTCTCAGTAGTTTTTGTTAATTATAATTGTTACTTTTTTGGGGTGGGTGGTGGACATGGGGCAGGCGTTATCAAAGAAACAATGAAGTATGCAAGTTCTTCACTTCTGAAGATATTATTTCTTTCCACTCTGGGTTCCACACTGGATGGTGACTCTCCGTTCTCACGATGAAGAGTAAGAGTAAAAAAACTAAATGGAAGCCACCATCAGTATCCCAAAACTAGTGGTAATAGAGAGAGTATGCTGGGGGCTGGCATGTACAGTAACTGTCTGTGCCCCTGTGCCCTGAACCTCGGGGTAATCAGGAGTGAATAAACACCACAGGCCCGTAGCCAGCAATTTCAAAAGGGGGGTTCTTTTACTGAAAAAGTGGACCTTTTCCCATAAAAACTTAATGTACCTTGATCAAATTTTACCCAGAGTGGACCTTTTTCCAGCAAAAGGGGCGGTTCTTTCGAACCTCCCGAACCCCCCCTGGCTACGGGCCTGCACCATGACCATCTCTCTCAAACTCAGGGTGTTTCTTTTGGGACATACTGTACTCTCACTGTCCTCATGAAACTAATGCGAAAATCTTTGAACATAGGTCACCATCAGTACCCTGAAACTCGAGGCAACAGATAAAGTTTGCTGGGTGAAGGGAAGTAACTGTCTCTGCCCTTAAACCCAGGGTGAAGGGGAGTTTGCACGATTACAGCCATGTCATCACCATATCCCTCTGAAACTCAGGGTGGTTATTCCGGGCATACAGTACTCTCACCGTCACATGAACGGAATGATTTCTCTTCCTACAATAATGTTATGGTCTTACCTGACACTAGTAGGCCAACCGGCGAACAATATAACAACATCAAAAGTCATGCAAAGTAAGGAATACCCGCAGTACAGTAGTTTACATGACAAACAGGGACACAGACTATATATAGTCAGAAAGGCTTAATAATATGCCTCAATTTGCCAACTTAGGGTGTCACGAAGCGCCCCATGTTAGGCTACTCACAACAAGGGGCGAGTCATGTTTGGGGTTTCTGAAGTGAACTTGTATTTCACCACGTTTACATCGATGTGCCGCGAACCGTGAACGCAGATTTTATGCGATACAAGATAGTGGTTGAATTGCCCCTGCCTATACAAGCTACATTTTACTCACCTAAACTGAAAATACGGTATATTCACAGTTACAGGTCCGATAAAGTCATGTATACGCTGTAAATCATGGGTCCGTGTCCCTAACTTCCAGGTAAGACGAGTTAAAATGACTCTTTCCTTTCCAAAACAGGTGGTAGTGAAATTGACGTAGGTCCGCGAGTTTTGGGGAGAGCCGGGCGGTATAGTAAATTATGTTTGACACTAAATAAGCGGCATTTCTTGATCTCGTAGCCAAAATAGATCAATACAAGAGCCTAAGTAAAATAGATTGTAATATTTTTTAATACACCGTTGTAGTTAAACATAGTAATATCGTATTCATCACATAAAGATCGTAATTAATTCATTTTCTTTTTTTCTCTTTCTGCACTCCCGCGATAGTGACTCATCTCAAAATAGAACAAGACAATATGTCACCTTTTGGAGACGTCCAAAAGTACTTAGGAGAAATCCGAAGGAAAAAAAAAACTCATCAAGCCCGGGCTATCAGAATATATGATAAACTTGCTAGTCTGTATAAATCTTACCAATGTTTTATAAATGCTGACATTTATGGCGTCTTTTGTGTAGCTGCTAGCGTATCGGTGAAATATTTGATCAATTTATTGTCGCGGGGTTATTAAACCAATTAAAATGTAAACTTTTAGCTGTCATTTAAATAAGAACCGGTTCTAGTAGCAAGGGGACATTAAATTCAGGATGTAATATGTATCTTTAAACCAAATAGGCCTTATATTAAATTTTAAATGAAAGTAATTTGTGTGTGTGTGTGTGTGTGTGTGTGTGTGTGGGGGGGGGGGGGGGGGGAGACGATCTCAGCCTAATTGAAAATGTTTCTTGCAATGCATGCCACGCAAAGAAAAAGCATGTGCATTTTTATATTGTTTTTTTTAATAGATTTTTCACATTCCCCAAAATTTCCCCTTTTTTCCGAGCTCTTACGATGTGCACTGACATCCTTAAACTCCTTAGAATAAACATACAGTTTACCCTCCCACCTAAAAAAATTAATTATTTCAAATTGTCAAGATATTAAGCACTTTTGAATTCAGCAGCCCAAGTTCTACAGAGAACACGCATGCCTCCACTGCAAATGATACTGATACTTTATACTGTTACAGGATTATTTGAAGGGGGTCCGTTTTTAGGACTGATAGGGCTCGGATGCATAGCTGACCCTCGCCCTCTTGGTGTGCTCAAGGCCCCCCAAAATTTTGTTTTTCATTTTTATTATTTTTTTTAATTATCTATTTATTTATTTTGTTTGTGTGTGTGGGAGGGGAATAAACGGTGCCATTTGATACGGTTTAGAACCAGTAAAACTTGTTATTTCAAGAGGGGAATATTGGTGTGTAATTTTTTTCAGAAACCGAATGGGTAAGGACCCCCCTGACTCCCCCCAAAATCCGCTACTGGTACGGGGTAGTGCATCTGAAACTCAAGGTGTAAAGCCATTTGCTGATATACATTTCCCCTTAAATGCCTCCCTGTGCATTAAATACACCCTTAATATGATCAAGATACCATCATATAGTACAATGTCATGCTAACGCAAGATGCATGAAGGAGATTTCAATCTTGCAAGGCTTTCGTTGACTGAAGTTAAGTCGGGCCTAAACAAAAAGAATTAATGAAGGCCTGGAAATCGGTTAAAATTTTTAGACCAAAATTTTAGTCTACTTTGGCTCGTGATCAATCAGTAATCCAGTTAAATGAAATGTTAGTCCGTTTTCTAACAGGCTAGGCATCATTTGCTTATGTTTCAGACTACTATGTGATGTCTGAGCTCCTGTGGTTTTCATCCAATTCTTGTACCGAAACAGACCAAAGTTTTGTGCTAAAAGTTTAGACTAAATTTCGGACTACAGCTGGCAGCTAATGCTCTCTCATTCACTGTTCTCCGCACGGCGAAATACCAAATTACTGCAAAGAGCTTGAATTTTTAACATTTGCCTGCTTCTTTGAACGTCGTCTTGACAAGGCCACAGAAAGGTTGACATTGTTTCGTGACGACGTTCAATTAACGTCGTTAAGGTCAATGTCACACAACTCTGCCTTTGTGTTACATATCAATAGCGCATTTACTTCCTTCACTGCTTTACATGTACTTATACAGGGTACCTTAAGATATACATTGTACTATCCGCGTTTGAAATTGCTCCAAAGTCATATTTTGTATGTCTATATATCCAACAAAACTATTTATCTTTCCCAAAATCCAGACCTTAAAATTGACAAAACCTGTTAAATAAATGTAGCTGATGTTAGTTTTTCCTTCTGAAATGTGGCAGTCGGTACCTACCCGAAATTACCGACATGATGAAAAGCCTAAAAAAACCTTTAAAATAGACTTCAATTATGTAATAAGATTTATCAAAATTATTAAGAAAGTGTTTTCAAGTAATCCTGATAGTTGATTGGCATTTGTCATGAATTAATGAATTGTTTTAACTTCATTTTAGAAAATTCATTCTAATAAATTCCTAACAAGGTCCGCTAACACAGGAGTAGTGAAAGGTTTAGCGGGCAAAACTTGTCAGGTTGAATAGTACACCACAGTCATTTGAAAGACAAGTTGGGAAGTCCATTCCATAAGAGGGGTGACAGGTGGGGGGAGTCCATTTCATAAGAGGGGTGACAGGTGGGGGAGTCCATTCCATAAAAGGGGTGACAGGTGGGGCGAGTCCATTGTCATAGAAGGGGTGACAGGTGGGGCGNAGGGGAGGGGGGAGTGGGGCTAGGACGGGGCGTGGAACATGTTGGGGAAGGCAGGTGACGCGTGATAATACATTATAAACAATAGAATTCAATGTGTGAAAAAAGGAGGGGGGTTTTCATAATAAAAAAGGGGGGAATAAAGCTTCATTTCATTTGTTCGGTTAAAGGGATCACTTCTTTTTTTTTGAACTCCTTAGATTTCTGTTGGCCGTGTTCATGGCAGTTACCATTTTATTCCAAAAATTGTCTTCCCTATGTTCGGGGTAAAATTTCCGGACGGCGTTTCTTATAAACCCCACTCTCACAACGTCCATCGGCACGCGCTTGTCTTGTCCTTTTGAGGACCCCTGAACATTTCTTGTCGGGTCTATTCTTTCGTTAGGGCTAAAAAGGTTGGACATTACTTTGACGCAGAAGCTTGCTGGGCCGTTGGATTGAATTTTAATTTTTGCCAAGTCCAAATCGGAGAGCATAGTAAAGGCACCTTGGGTGGCAGAGGTGGGGGCACTGTTTCTAGTGGTGAGGAGATTTTGGGAAGGCATGGTTGACAAAGGACTGGGGAAGGGCACAGGGTCAGAGAGGGAAGAGTTGTGCGGCTGGGTCGCCTGGGGGGATACTATCATAAGGGGTGGAAGAGGGGTGGCATGGTTAGGGTTTGGTCTTGGAGGAATGTTGAACAAGGGGTGGGTGGGAACCGGGCTAGGACGGGGGGTGGAACATGTTGGAGTAGGACGGGGGATAAAAGGAGTTGGCGTGGTCAGTGGGGTGGGTGGAATTGGAGAGGGCAGGGGGCTGGGAGGAATTGGAGAGGGCAGGGGGCTGGGACGAATTAGAGAGGGCAGGGGGGTGATAGTAGTGGGACCGGGGGTGGAAGGAGTTGGAGTGGGGCGGAGGGAGGAAGTGGGAGTGGGGCGGGGGGTGGTAGGGGTTGGAGTGTGGCGGAGGGTGGAAGTAGGGGCGGGACGAGGGTTGGAAGTAGGAGTTGGAGTGGGGCGGAACGTGGAAGTGGGAGTGGGGCGGGGGGTGGTAGGGGTTGAGTTGGGAGGGGGATTGGTAGTAGGGGCGGGACGGGGGTTGGAAGTAAGAGTGGGAAGGGGGGTGGAAGGAGTTGGAATGGGCAGGGGGGTCGACCATGTGGGGCGTTGAAGGGGGTGGGGGGAGGTGGGGCTGGAAAGGGGGCTGGGGCAGGCTTCGGGCTCTATTAATTTGTCTTTTACGAGGTCTTGTATTGCGTCCATTTTCTTGTCCAATTCCTCTAGCTTATCCATGATTTTAACTAGTGCTCCTCTGCAGTCGCAATGCAATACGGGCGCTGGTTGGTCTAGTCCGTCATTCGGTCCTGCTTCACCTAGGGCCAGCAAGGGTCCATGCTGAAAATTCAGATAAACAAAAAATCTAACTATTGGTATCCGCTACAGTCCTTTGCTTTCAAACGTAATTAACGTGGCGCCAATGACCATTTTTTTTTTTTTTGTATTTCCTCAAGTAAATCTGTTGATAAATACATTATATATCATATGTAACGAACATACAACGACCGCCAAGTTCACTATTTTCCTATTTTCCTGTTCAGATAACTTTATAAAGAGAAACGTATATTAATGACCTCAAAGTTATTCGAAAATCAAAATTAACCTTCAAATATAAAAAGTTGTTTTAATTACTTAATTTTGGGAGGCAGGAATATGCGTATAAATATATTCTTTCCAATACCCACCTTTTTCTTCGTTTTTGGGGCAGGGGGGGTGGGGACCTGACCACTCTCAGACTCCGAGTCTGTCTCTGTCTCAGTATCAGTTGCGGTCTCTGCTGTATCTTCCCCGCTATCTTCGCTGTCTCTAATCGAAATCAGTGAATTGTTTGTGCCAGTGTAATAGCGCACCTTAGCCATGTGCGCATGTATGGAATCTGAAATAGGGGGAGGGGGTACAGTACAAAAACAAGTTAGGGAACCGAACCGATAATGACTCTTATATTTGTCTTTTAAGACCAAAGAGACGCATGAGATCATATATATAAGATCACTAAATACACCCAAGAGTCAATACTTACTGGTTGTGGCTAAAACCGTTCCTTCTGACTTCCCAGAATCTTCAAATTCGTAGGAAACACGCACGCCCCGTTGGATCTTTTCATTAGAAGCTAATTCCGATGTCTTCATGCCAGATATGGTTTTGTCGTCCCATTCGACGACTGCATAGGCGTCTGAAAGCACAAACGACTTCTTTGTATTAAATTATGTAGACAAAATTACAATATTTGTATTACATCCACAGAACTAAAACTGATCCTATCACTGATATGTACCAGAAATACCATGTGAAAAAAAAATGTATTGAAAAAAGTGAATTATATATTTGTGCATTATACTTTTCTTAAAACCTGGTGAATCTAGCTTTTTGTCTTAACTATGTAAGATTTTACAGTACGTGTTTTCATGTCATGTCTTCATATTGCGAGATCAATTTATAATCGTGATTATAACAATGATTACATTGACGACTCAGTTTTTCCTAAGTTACTTCACAAAACCTAAGTCGGAATTGGGGTGTCTGAAAATTAATGTCAAATTTACATCAGACAATCTGTATCGCGTCCTAACTGTTACGTATTGTTTTATTTTTCGAAAAGATGGCGAAATCTACGGCATGCTATTGCAAGTGTTAACGGTTCAATGTATTTGGAGTAAATGTCACCGTAATGTAAATGATTTTTAATCGGACCAGTTTATTTTACAGACATAATAAGGTCAATTCATTTGTGTGTGACCATTTGGTTGATGTAATTCTGTTGGGGCCAGTTACAGACGAGTCTGTAACCGAGCCCAACAGACTAATGAAATTGTGAAGTTCACGCCCTTTTATAGGAGCCGCTTCTGTGTCCTTGAACTTGGCCGATTGTGAAATCCTTAAAATCGGCGGTAAGGCAGTTATTTAAAAACTTTTTCTCAAGCTCCGTCGACCTAAAAATGTCCAAAATAGAAACCAAAAATAAAATAGAAACCAAAAATATTTTCACTTTTTCACCGACATTCGACTGATCATACTGTTCGATAGGAAACAGGAAACCTCACAAGAGCCTCCCGCCTCACCTGCAAGTTCAGAACGAATGGCATTTAAGCCAAAGTAAACGATTGGTTCATTTACCCCAGCTTCCGGATTTTACGCCAATCAGTGCTTCGCTGATATTTTACACTACATGTGTCAAGTTAATGCAGCAATGGCGGGATAGTTTTACTTTGGCAAGAATTTGACCTCTGTTGTGTGGCTTAGTTTTATAGTGAAAGAGGGACCAGAATCATTATGCATTAAGGTCTGTCCGGCCAGTGTTACAGATGATTTAGGTAATTTTATTGACTGCTTTCTGTCGGAAAGGAAAAGACAATTGCAACACTTAGTCACGTGTTTTTAACAACAAGGAGCCAGCAGCTGGCGTTGGGAGCAAATTAGGTTCTGAACTGAACGTTAAGGACGCCGGTCACTACGGCGGTAGATATTGACATTCAGTACATTCAAAGGACAGTGGGCAATGAACACCAATAGATGCAGGCTCAACTAAAGCCTCCGAGAGCATCCAAAAACGGAGCGCATTTGATGGTTTATTGCATCACTCGCATACTTCTGAAAGTCTCCGGGAATGATGTGAGAATTTTTTTCGTTTTATCAGCCTAGAGTGCCATAGTATTTTAGGGTGAATATATTGTAGGCATTGAGATGTTGATAAATTATAAATTTATTATTACTGTGCACATGTATTTAAACTTAAGTATATTATAATTAGTAGTGTAGAGAGTCTATCAATGTAGGCTACACTCATTTCTTGTGCTCAATAAATTATTATTATTATTATTATTATTGTTGTTGTTTTTATTATTATTTTTATTAATAATAATTTTTATTTTAAATAAATGTCCTTTTTTTGCACTTTCACAAAAACGCAATAAGGAATTTCACAAAACCTTAGTCTGAAAATTTATATAAATGTCAAATTTGTCAGAGTTTTTAGCGAAGGGGTTACGTAATGTTTTTTTTTTTTTTTTTTTTTTTTTTTCGAAAAGATGACGAAATCCAGGGCATGTTATTACTAGTATTAACGTATCAATGTATTTGGAGTAAATGTCACCGAAATGTAAATGATTTTTAATCGGACCAGTTTATTTTACGTCAATTCAATTGCGTGTGACCATTAGGTTGTTATTGGTCTATTGGGTTCGAGTGACAGCCGAGTCTGTAACCGAGCCCAACAGACTAATGAAATTGTGAAATGCACGCCCTTTTATAGGAGCCGCTTTTGAAGTGACCTTGAACTGAACTTGGCCGATTGTGAGATTCGGTGGTAAATTCTTTTCATTTTTAGTCAAGAGGGAACTGTTTGACTTTGCTTGTAGGACTTGTGTCCATTAGCTGTTGCAGATTTATGTGTGAGAAAACCAGATCGACCTATTTTTTAAGATGTACCAGTATGCTCGCGTTAACGTGGAATAAAACATTTTTTAAAGAACCAAGCTTCTAAAAAGCTCTAGAACTTGGCCGATTTCGAGATCCTTAAAATCGGTGGTAATTTATTTTCATTTTTAATCAGGAAGCAATAGCTCGACTTCACTTTTAGCAGTAATTTTCATTAAACTCTTGAACGATTCATGCGTGAGAAAACTGAACACATTGACTTAAAGTATAGGTTGTATACTCGCGTTATCGAGGAAAAACATATTTACAACTAATTTAATATAATTGCAGCAGAGGTTGGAATCGCTGCCTTGCCAAAGAATGATCACAGAAACTAACCGCCAACCTACTTGGCGGCCCTAGGAAGAAGGTAATAGCAGGTACTGTATTCTATTGTGTGATAACAGCGTGCTGTACCTAGAGCGTTATTTCACTTGTATGTCACAATATAACTTGCATATTTTTAATCTCATTCGTAACATGCATTTTGAATTAATCCACCCATCTATTCAACCGATTTCTACACTTTTGTATTTAACAACCCTCAAGTTAAATCAAGATTTTTTTGTCAGTAATCTCTGTATTTTTTCATTTATTTATTCCTAATAATTGAATTCTTAAGTAGGTGTTTAATGTATTTGTAGGGTCTTCTGATAATATTTTTGACTTATTGTTATTATCATAACTATTATTATGATATTCAGACAATGGGTAGAACATTTCTGCCCTAACATCAGACGACAGCATTCGACATAAATGGTTAATTGGGGTTATTGTCAAAGTGAAGAGCCCCGCACTTGCATCGGAGTTAAAACAGTTAACGTAGTTTACCTTCTTTTTATTTAATGTATGGTGATCATTTAGCAAAGTTACATTGGATGACAAATTCAAACATTACTTTATTGATTTTCTGCCTACGAAAGTATTTAGTAACCCTAACCTTGTTTTAAATAATTTTGCTCATGCCCTTACGGAGTTTACAAAGTGTAGTCCCAGCGTGAAGTCACTTAACTCTACAATTTTCTCATTAGTTGACTACGGGACTGAGCGCTGGGCGGCAACGATAGTGAATATCGGTTGTAATGAGTATAAACCTACAAGAGTTTTTGTTACTTGGAAGAATACTGTTAACTGAAGCATAGACAAAAAGCAAACGTGATTTCTGAATAAACTTTGGCTGATCCAGGACCCAGAAATATTTTGATTTCTAAGTGTGTGTATGTGCGTTTGTGTTAATATTTTTACTACTTTTAGCTTATGAATTAGGTTGAGTGCATAACTTTCATACTAACGTGGAAAAATCAAAATGTGCATCTTTCTAGGAAGAAAACAGTAACAGAACTTACCGATTTTGGACAACTGGCGAGCAGACATTTTCTTCTGTTCCATCTAGAACCCTTCAGTAAGTCAAGGCGTCTTGTAGTGGTCACAAGTGCTGATGACTCAGATGTGATGGGCTCTGGTACGTTTCCCGCATTTTATAAAGATTCCAAAGTCGCTGTTAAGCTCAAACAACCTGGCAGGTGAATAACTTACAGATCTTGCAATGGCCATATCCAGGTGACATCATTGTCTTTAAGCTCCCAGCTTATGTCAGGTGTTCACAGGTAGTTAAGCTTAATCAGTGAGCTACAGGTAAAAAGATCGTATCTTTGACCACAATGAGTTACCGATCCGAGGGTGAGCAGACATGCAACAATCAAGAAACAATAAGATCGACGAATAGATATAATTCCGACACGTGATTGGTTTAAGTCACGTTATCAGTGACACGCAGGACAAGAAGATACTTTAGGGCGAATACTGGCTAAGGAAAAATATTACAAAACAGTATTCATCTAACTTCTATTACTCTACGGATTTAACCTTCTGAAAGGATTCCCCTTTGAAACAATTTCTCCTGCTTGCGTAACATTGTTATATCCGGCCCACTGCTAAGATTCGATATTTTGTCTCATTTATTAATGCAAAAACTTGAACATTTATGACTGATGGGTCATATTGAAGTAACTGTCGGGTTAAATGTTTGCTTTTTCATATTTTTCTGATAAAACTTTATATGAATGCGAATAAAGCATGATGTATTTTTTCAAATGAAAGTATCTTAAAAGGACTCTAAAGATCTATTTACAAGACCTATTGGAAGAACGATGACAGTATGCTGTGTGACCGAGGCAAGAGCAACTTTGACCTCAGTGCAAATTTAAGGGCCAGACAAAAGAATAGGTGATTAGGATGAGCAATGTGTATGTTTTCACACCTCGGCGGGTGTGATTTCAATAAGTGTCATTTAATTACAGGGTTACCGCTGCAGCATGTTATAGTGGCTGTTAGCCTACCAGTATTTGCCATTTAAATAAATCACACAAAAAGTCGATATACGTTATGCTGATACCTTAATTTGAATAGAAAAATGAATACCCGTGTTATATGCGTTCTTAACTCTATAAGACCCATGAAATGGTACTTTTGTTTGTTCTGTGTTGTGTGTAAAGTTTTTGGAGCAACCATGATGTTATTTTATAGAATTTTAGTGTAGTTTTTACGGAATATAATTGAGAATCCTCTGCGATTTAAAGTCACCTGTGTACAAACCCTCTGTATTAATTATATACGCACCATTGTTCTGACACCCCATCTTGCATACTTTTATAAAACTGAGGTAAACAATGCCTGCTACCTTTACAACTCTTATCTTAATCGTCCCTCTTAATGGAACTTCCTTTACCTCTTAATTAGAGGGTTAAATTGCATTCAATTCTCTTCCCCAATCCAACTGTCACTGGCGATATTTATCTCAGGTAAAATCTACCTGTGCGTTATTTTCAAAGAGCAGCTCCAGCAGGCCTGGGGGCACTAGATAAAATCTGGACAGTAAGTTTATTAACAAGCTAGAGAAACAAAGGAAGGATTTTTCCTGCAAAGCTTCATAGGAATATTAACACGGACTTGATCCACCCAAACTAACAGGGTGACATGGGCAATTTTTACAAACAAATAATTAAACAAATTATGTTTTAGTTAGCTTCCTTATGAATAAATTTATCGTTTTGGGTAAATATTGAAACTTTATTAAATCGCGAGAATATTTTTGACTTAAATGATAATTTTATTATTAATGGAAATTAAGCTACGATGTGTGGTACATATGCTGTGATTACGCTGTCCTTCACCTGTTGCGTTATGCCCCTATTTCACACCGACCACGAATCCCACGTATCGCCAGGAATTGACAAATTTCAGGATTCGTGATTAAACCGTAATCAGTTCGTGCAGTTCTTAACAGATTCGTATATATTCGTTGTCAGTTCTTGCATTTCTTGATCAATCACGAACTGATTACGATTCAACCACGAAGCCTGAAATTTGTCAATTCCTGGAGATTCGTGGTCTTTGTGCAATAGGGGCCATTAGTTTACATTTTGATGTACGTGCTGTAAAGTTAAAGATCTATGCGTGCAATTTTTAAAGTTCTGGTTACGCCCCTTTTAACACATTGTAATTAGTCCCTGTGCGTCTTGCCTAATTATTGATGTCAATGTGACAGTGACAGGTGAGTAGTTCGGCTTCAGAAGTGGCTCGGTGCCTTAATTGATATGGTAATGATCTTCCCGTACATATGGCTTCTTTAGAGCTCTTAAATACAGAAGCAGCTCACCGGCATAGCATTCCGTGGATCGCAACATAACTGTTCACAATGCCACTTAGCGCATATGCTCGCCAGCGTATCGTGGTTTTACGGGAAAATGGAGTAAGCATAGGGGATATTCAACGGCAGTTGGCTGACGAAAACGTGTCTTGCTACCGAAGTACAATATACCGTTTCCTACAAAGGTTCGAAGAGGGACACGGTCTTGCTGATCGTCCGAGATCAGGAAGAAGAGCTCAGTTTACAGATGAACATAGCGCCATTGTTAATCTTGAGATGACCAACAACCGTGAAATGAACTCTATGCAATTAAGGGATATATTGCAAGAGCGAACAGGTAAGAGATCTAAGTAACTTTCACTTTTAAGGTCGGCTTATGCCTTAAGTTCCAGATGTACTATTTGAGCAATCATTTGACACATACGGTCCCGATGTAACTTGACAGAGAGTCATGACAGAGAGTCTGCTTCCCATTTTTATGTACATTTACCAGTAAGCCTTGCCTGAGATTTTGTCTCACTTAGATCAGGCTAACCTGCTCTTTGTAACTAAATATAAGCGGACTTTCTGTTACACAGACTCTCGTAAAAGATTACGTAAAAAATTACGTAAAAGTAACAGAGGAGCGATCTACTTAATATTTATGCATACATCGTATTGATATCGTGATTTAGCTTTATCAGTGAGTGAACCGCAATTATTTAAATAGAGAAATTGTTAATTGTGTTTCTCTCGCAAAGGGAAAGTGGTTTTAACACATTTATGAATACTACACCTTTTCATCACTAAGCTAACCAATACCAGCTACCAGTATATTGTTGCAGCTCATTCTCAGTGGATTCTCGTGCAAATGTTAATTTGCCTTTTTTTCCCGATAGGTCTATCCGTTCACCACTCAGCAGTCCGGAGGTTAAGAAAGAAACTTGGATGGACAAAGACAAGGCGAGGCTACTGCCAACTTGTTCGGCATGCTAACAGACCGAAGAGGGTAGACTTCTGTCGACAGGCCATGGTTGTTGACGACACGTTCGACGACGTGATCTTTACTGGTTTGTAGGAATTCATAACTTTTTAACACAAATCGTATAATTACATTCACACGTTAACTGATAACATTTATTTTCAATACACAATCGTTTAAGTTGCCAAAGGTCACTCGGCAGGGTTGGTGCACTAGTATACCCAGTACCAGTAGGTTTATAATGCTACACATGGAATTATTAAAAATTATTTACTTTTTTTCTTTCAGACGAGTGCACTGTCCAGATGGACTCGAATGGAAGATACGTTTTTCGAAGAGTGTTGCGTGACGCAGATGGCAATGACATTAGTGAGCCCCCTCCCTTACGACCGAGACCCAAACATCCATACAAAATTCATGTTTGGGCAGGTAAGTTGCAAACCTGAGCACTGTTGTGAAAAGAGCGGTGTCTTAGAAAAGCTGAATGACGCCTGTAAAATTTAATTTGATCACGAAACTATATTTGTGTACATTCTTTCATATTTGTGTACGTTCTTCATATGCTTTCAGCATTTTTTGAACAGTAATATTATTGCGTGTTTCAATCATGGTAAACAGCCTAGGAACCAAATTGAAATATACTGTACATGTTGTGGTATTTTACAGGTATTTCCAAGAGGGGAGCCACTGAAATTGCTCTTTTCACTGGCACCATGGATAGCGTGAGGTACCAAGACATCTTAGAAGCTGCCCTTTTGCCATTTATCAGACAGAGGTAAGGGCGAAATTAGGTAGCCTATATGACGACAATATTTTAGTCCTGGCTTGCATTCTTTTAGGTTCCCACTAGGACATCGATTTTTGCGCTATTTGACGACAGCGGAATGCCGCTCACCTGTGCTATCTCACAACTGATCTCTCTATAACCAACGATTTTTGTGTCGTTTATATTCCGACAATATTTAACCCTGGCTTGCATTCTTTTAGGTTCCCCCGAGGCCATCGCTTCATGCAGGATAACGCACCCATGCATACCAGTCGTGCAACCATGCAGTACTTGAGGGAAAACGGCGTCAACTGGTTCCGGACTCCACCGGAGAGTCCGGACCTCAATCCAATAGAACTGATGTGGGCTGAGATGAAATATCACATTCGGCACCGAGCCAAGCCAAAGACGAAAGAACAGCTGGCGGACGGGATACGGGAATTTTGGCGCACTGTAGACCAAGGTAAGTGCGTCAAATACATTGATCATATTCAAAAGGTTTTGCCCGAAGTGATACGTCGTGAGGGTAGAGCTTCGGGCTATTAATGTAATTAGATAAATTATAAAGTTTGAAAGTAAGGCTTTTGTAAATATGTATATAACTATTTATGATTTCCGAATTGTTTAAATATTTTGTTTGTTCATATTTAAAATTTTTCAATGTAAATATTTTGTAAATATGTTTTGAATAATTTTGTATATTTTGTTAAATTGTTTTAAATAATTTTGTACATTTTGTAAATATGTTTTGAAAGTTTTTTTGTTGTTTGTATTGTGTTTGATGTATTGTGCTGTTTTGTGTTTGATGTATGTGTATTTGCCTGTTTTGCCGTAACGTAGGTAGTTTAGCTGTAACGTAGGTATGGGTAATCTCACAATATCTTTTTAATGATAAAGGTAATGTGACATCACCGAACCCATTAACACTTAATCATCCAATGCGGTGTGTCAGAAGGCTTGTAACACAACCGTAAGGTGAGCGGCACATTTCAAAAATTCATACTTTACCACCGTTTGCAGTGGACTTTTTTCATTTTAACTTCACGAATCCTTTATTGGGATTAGAGCTTAAATGTCGCTTGTGTTATTAATCAGGCAATGCAAGGGCTTGCAACCTGAGGGGTCCCTCTGATCTACTATGCACATGTTTCGTTCCGCCTTTTAACAGTTTATACTGTAGATAGGTAGGCGTAATCAGCAAAAGAGAGAGAGAGAGAGATCGTAAATTTTGTCAATGAAGCTCACATACAACTCGGAACATGTCCCCCTTATTTACAACGCTTAAATATGTTCACCTTGGCTAAGTCCTGTATACTATGTGCACCATATTCAAAATCTTCATTTAAGGTTCGTCTCAACACGATAAACGTGTCTTAATTTCTCCTGCACATCATCGTATACCAAGGCAATTCATTAAGAACAATTTAAATTTAAAAAGATCTGTAAAGTTCTGAAATCGTTCCTGTTTCATCACGTTTCTGATGTGATGAATATAGAGACCGTAGCGACCATGTCAAGTAGAAACACTGCATTAAACAGGGGGCACATCAGCTCCAAAAAAGATTTAAATTATTAGAAATTAAATTATTATATTAAGTGTTGAATGTGGTGGTGTGTTGACAATGTCTTAATTTCTCCTGCACATCATCGTATACCAAGGCAATTCATTAAGAACAATTTAAATTTAAAAAGATCTGTAAAGTTCTGAAATCGTTCCTGTTTCATCACCTTTCTGATGTGATGAATATAGAGACCGTAGCGACCATGTCAAGTAGAAACACTGCATTAAACAGGGGGCACATCAGCTCCAAAAAAANGACTTTCGTGACAAAATGTCTGGGCTTTTCAACAGTGTGGGCCTTATAAAAGTAATTACGGGAAAAAATTGACAATTGCTGAATCAAAGGCCAAAGGTGCAATATAACATCATAGGGTGGACTGCTATTTTGTTATATTCTACTTCTGTAAGATTTACCCCATTCCTTTGCAGACAAACAAATCTGTTGTAAAACATAACCCATAGCCATTATTATGAAAATCTTTCAACAACTGGCCTATAATTTTTTATCAAAACCTGCCCCCCACCCCCATACCTAACCTCTCTAGCTAGACACTTTAAAAATAAAATCAAGGGACGTATTCCAAGATGTTCCTTTAGATAGTCCTAAGGTCAACTTTTAGGCTTCCTTTGATGAGGTGTTCCTTGGTAAAGGAAGGCCTAACGAAATGGTATTCTAAGACCACACTTTAGCCTCTCCTTTGATAAGGAATTACTTTGACAAAAGTCAGCCTTTAGGTAAGGGACACTGACATAAAGGAGCTCCTCAGTGGTTAGAGTAGGCCTTTAAGACACCCTCCTTGTTAAAAATGCCTCAGTAATGTTGTATAATATTGGGGTCAACTGATCAATTTCAGTCATGCAACAGCACATATGGACATTATCACTGCATGTGGATGTTTTGATCCAAGC